ATATATATATATATATATATATATATATATATATATATATATATATATATATATATATATATATATATTTTATACTAATAACCTTTGATCAAAGTATTAATTAAATGTTAACTTGCTAACTTGAGAGCATGGGTGGAGACATTATGTAACCTTTTAACCATTGGCTAATGTGCTATCTTGTCTTGCTGCAAAACCTATCCCGGGGTGTGGAACTGCCTACCCTGTCACTTTCCCCCGCCCATGGAAAATCTATATATTCTATTGTAATCAATTGATTGACAGTGTCTCTGAGCCTAATAAGCCAGGTGACACTCCGCCAGTGCTGCGTGTAATAAACTCCTATGCTTGACCTCTACACGGTGTGGATTTATGTCCTTCATCCTCGTCAACGTCATGGTCTCCTTTGAGAACAGGACCCCGGCATTTTGCGAAGCCAGAGCTCATAAGCTGGAAAAGTACGCCCCCTTGGCTGATACCCTGAGAGCGAAGGGCTACGAGGTGCAGATGGACACCCTGATTGTCGGAGCCCTGGGACCCCTGCAACGAGTGCGTGCTGCGGACCTGCCGGATCAGTCGACGCAACGCATGGCTCATGTGGCACCTCATGGTCTCAGACACCATCCGATGGTCCAGGGACATCTACATCGAGCACATCACCGGCCACCGACAGTACCAGTAGGCGTGAGCCAGAGTGACATTGTTCTCCCACTACGAGAAAGGGACCAAGAGACCTTCTCCGTTGGATCATATGAACTGGAACCATAAACTCCCTGAACATTAAATCTCACCAAATGAGGGTCAATCCATCCTCATCATCGTATCCACTCATTATACACCACACCCGAATATAGCCACTCTATGAACTTCATATCCTCATATCTCAATGCCTGTACTTTGACCCATCAACGTTTTACCCCAAATCGGGGATATTGCAGATTATGTATTCCTTATGCCACCCGATGTTAAACCAAACTTTGCACCCTTGATAATCTGTATGTTATTCCCTGATAACCAGAAACTTCTATGCTCAAACTCTGTTCATTTTTTTTATCATCTTAATAAAATTTTTAAATCTATTATCTTGGATTGCATGGACTAGACACAGCCATCTCAAGCCAGAAGAGCATGGATGAGTGAGAGGTAGCTAGCACCTGCCCCCACAACCACAGGCCAGATTTTGATCTCAAACCCCCACCCTTAACTTCCACTGAAGGCACAGGAATTGTCCACATGTCCCAGA